TCCACCGCAGAGGAAGGGATATCCCTTCAGTTTCACAAACAGGTAGAATGTTCAAAGGACCCCTGGGATTGGAAAGCCCTTCCAACTGAAAAGTTATAAAATCAAGTTGCTTTGTCACATCCGTGAGCAATGTGGCTCTCGCGCCAACAATGTTGTAATTTGCAGAATGGATGAAGCTTGAATCAAGCTTTGGCAGGCTTTCCAAGAACGTGGACTTGTATAAAGTACACAGAACTGTACCATGCCACACTCTCTTCACATTTGACTTTTTGCAACAGAATCACAAAGGTAATCATTTTTTCCAGAAATACTGGAGGGTTTTCTTAAGAGTCCATCTTAATCCTTAGGTACACGGACCGTTCTTGTTCAAAACACCTGTCATGACGATTGACCTGATATTACCAAGTTCCCAGACGGTTACCTGTAATGAGAAACATTCTCCAGCCATATTTTCATCCACTTTATGAAATGCTGCATCTTTTGCAAGATTTGCAATTCTGCTTTGCAATCCTTTTGCACTGCATTTGCATAGTAGTATCAGGTACCAACAGCATCTGGCAGTCTGTGAGGAAATATCCAACAAAGACACTGTTGCCCTTTTGGGGTCATTACACTTCTGTAAAGAGGGCTGTGATTTGGGCATAGGAAATGTAGATTTAAGCAGTGAGATTATTGGTGGTCGTCTTCATACCATGACAACATTCTCTTTCCTACATGATTTTGCATAATGTAGGCTCAGATACTGAATTCTCCATTAACGGGATCTTGCTATGACTTGAATGTATCCCTCAAAAGCTTATGTGTTCAGAACTTAATCCCCAGATCATATGTAAATGATTTGGAGGTGGAGCCTCAAGAAGTAATTAGAGCTAGATGGAGTCATGCAGCTGGAGCCCCTGAGATGCCATTAGTAGATTAACAAAAAGGCAAAGAAGGACCTGCCTTGGCTCCCTTCTCTGCCTCATAGCAGGATGGCCTCCACCTTTGTCCCACAGCAGAAAGGTCCTCATCAGATGACTTCCCAGCCTCCAGAGCCACAAGCCAAATCAATGTCTTTTCATTATAAATTATCCAATCTCAAGCATTTTGTTACAGCAACAGAAAACAGAGGAAGACAGATTTCCTACACTTTGTTTCTATCCTTGAATGGACAGAATATCATCTGGTAAATGCTACACAGTTAATTCTCTTGGTTTGAACTACATTAACTGAGTCTCTGTCTATAAAAAGTATGTCTTCACTTTTGCAGATTTCAGACACTTGAGTAATTCTCACACTTATTTTTAATTGTTTCACATAAATTATCTACATCATACTTGCTGGAACTGTGCTTATGTGAAAAAATGGTGTAAAACCCCTAATACTTGAATAGCACTGAACATTAAACAAAAGATGTTTATATGCATGGAGTCTTCATTACAAGAATTTATTACCAATTCTAACACAGTAATGAGTTATACCTAGAAGCAAAAGGCCATTTATAATATAAAAAGAGGATTCACAATTGAGTGACCATTTAAAAATTAATACCATGGGGGCCAGGGATTTAGCTCAGTAGTTCCACCTCCTGCCTTGCAAGTGGAAGGTCTTGAGTTTGATCCCTAGTACCAAAAATAATAATATCAATAATAACGCCCATTCCAATCTCGTTTTCCACATCAATTCCTTTGGTGAGCTAGAATAAATTATTTCACCTCTCTTTATCCTCCATTGCTGCACATGTTAATTAAAGACAAAAGCATCCCAAACTGGAGATTTTCCCAAAAGGTTAGGGGAAATGTAGGAAAGTTCTTCAATCAGTAAAATGAAGTATAAAGAAAGGTATAGAATCAGAGAACTTGTTTCTCAATGCGCTTTCCTTTTGTACTGTATGAGACAGCAAATGAATTTTAATTGGGCTGCCCATTTCAGGCTCCCTTGCAGCTAAATGTGAACACAAGATTAGGTTCTAGGCAATGGGACAGGGAATAATATGTACAATTTCAAGGTCATGGCCCTAGAGTCTATTTTCTTTTCCACCTTCATTTTCCTCTTTTCATTAAGTGGAACACAGATTTGTTGATGAAAAACATAGAAAAGTGTCACTGACAAAAATACCCCAAATACAGTGGAGAAAAAAAATAGGAGTCTGAGCCCTTGAAGACTGCAAAAGCCTCCAAGCCAGTACAATCCTTGATTTGCAAAGAAGAAAGTAACTACTTTATTAAGTGACAATTACTTGGGGCTCCTCCCCTACCTGCTGAAGTGTATCTTACCCCACATGGGATTTTTCCCCCTCTTAATCACTGTACAAATAAATTTTCCTTCATTGCACAAGACCCACATACAAAGAAATGGAAAGCAGAATAAGGAGGGGCTAAAAAGATGAGTTCTGCAGTCAGATTGTCCCCCTCTAAACCGTGCCACTCTTGGCAATGTGATGAGTGGAAGTCATTTAACTCATCTAATCTTTGAGTTGCTATTCTATAAGTTGAGCATAGTAAGAGTGGCTACAACAAATCCAGGTAAGATTTAATGAAATAACACATGGAAAGAATTTAGCACAATGACCAGCTGATCTCAATCACTCAATAAACATTAGCAGGTATTATTTCAAGGAAAGGTGTTTTCTGGGCTGAATGATGCCCCGCTGTTAAGTTCAGTTTGGGAATCTGACAGAATAGTAATAGCCTTGGAAATGCCCTCATCCAAGTTTTTACCCATCCATCCAACAAGTCCATTCCCTTCTAAAATGTGAATTCATTTTCCACTGAGCTAATTCCCAAATTTTCAGATTACAAAAGAAAAAAGTAAAACCATTCTTCTTCACCTTTAAATTACAGTGGGATTTGAGAAAAGGTGTCAAGGTCATGGGTGGGGCCAAGCGGGCAATAACTGACACCCACATCTTTCCAGAGGAGCAGAGACTGCACCACACCCTCACATAGTTCACTTGTAGGGCTGTTTACTCTCAGGCCCTTTCACTGCTCTGCTCTCTTCTGAATCACAGGGAGCTCCACCGCCCGAACTACTTTGCCTTCTGGCTTTCTGGTTGGGTCAGCCAATGGCAGGCAGCAGTGGAAGACTTGGGACAGGAATGAAGAAAACACCAGACTTTTCTCTCCCTCCACCCATTCATCGTGCTTTGGCAATAACAACAGGTGCTGCATTTCCCCCAAAAAGACTAGACTTTATATTCATTTTTGCTCCAAAATATGCTATGGAATTTATTTTCGGGAAATATTTCATTTTTTCATGTAAAACAATCTACATGTATTCAAATACAGTCATGTCATCTTCTTTTGGAACATTGTCATAATACTGTAAGCCCCAAATACTATAAGCCTGAATTTCCTGTGACTCCACTTCCTGTACAAACATTGGCCCCAATCTCTCCTGTCCAGCGGCAGAGATCTCCTTAAATGAGCACCTTCTTGTCCATGCAGCCTGCTCACAGTGCGTTGGCAACACAGCTGTCAGTGATTTTGTCCCATGAATTTTTCACCCAAGTCGTGACCTCTTGCAGGCCAGGCCTCACAAAGTTTCCATTAAATCGAGTGTTAATTGAAGACTTATGGGACAGGAGTGGCAACAAAAATGATGACAGTTAAGAATGATGGTCCACACAAAAACAACAAAAAAATCATAGGCACCAAAATTCAGAGAATATTTATTTTACACACGTGAATTGAGAACGTCCATTACAACACACAATGTATTGAATTATGAAGACTCATGTTAGACATAATTACCCTCATTCGTTATCATGTGCACAAGTTATTCATACATTGTGTTTGTACTCTGATTGGTCAATCGGCCATTAGTCTCAAATTCTGTACTCTGATTGGTCAGTGGCCAATGAGTTTCAAATTCCGTATTCCAGTCAATCAGCCACTAGTCTCCAGTTCATCCATTTACATAGGTGTTTACCTGTCATTCAAAGATACCTGGTTGGGTGTTTACAAATGCTTAATTATAATTTATATTTTCTTTCATTTTAAGGATTAATGTCAATACATTATTTATCTATATTTAATTATATATTAATATTGTCATTTTATAATTCAATATATCTGGTATGTTGCAAGGAAAGTACTAAGTGTGTCCATCTAGCTGATGATGTTAACTAAGGCTTATTTGGGAGGTAGGGCTTATAGTATGAACATCCTGCAAAACCATGTCCTGTTTTCTGGTTAGGTCTTCTTTCAGGGAAATATAGTACTGTACAACATTGGCTACACTTAAAGACCCTGGCACCTGGGTTCCGACAATATCAACTCCTCTTTTTATTCCTTTCCCTAGTACTGACTTCCTGCCATTGGTAATTTCTGACGAGCCTCACTTTCTGCTGTTTGTTCCCTGAGTACTTCCGTAACCTGTGAACTCAATCCCCTAGGTTGAATCATCTCTGCTTGAAAGACCTTTAATGATGTCTGTTTTCTGTCTAGACCTGATAGATACAGGGTGGCATCTCCAATACCAAGTGCACTGTCTTGTATGTGCCAGAGATTCAGTGCTTGCTTGCTGAGTGGATGACCACCCAGGGTGGGAAAATGCCAACATAAATACCCTGAACTCCATTAGTCCTCTGATCACCCTAATGAGCTGTAAGGTTGAAAACACCCACACTCTTTCTGAGATGTTTATATCTGCTCTCAAAGGAGCTCCACTTGCTAAATCACTGAATATATCAAAGCATTCATCTTCCACAACCCTATTTCTTCTCTGGTTCCCAAGGGTAGTGAATCTCTGGCCCTGACCTCCCAGGGTCAGTGAAGAATTTGTGGAGGGGTGGGGGCTGCTGGTTATAAGATGATGACCGGGCTGAGAGCAGCACAGATGAAGGGGGTGTGGAGAAAAGCACAGCTATGTATCTCTAGGCAGCCGTGTCACTGCTGGAGCAATTCAGAGCTTGTAATGTTTGTAAATATCTGTTTGGTCCGAAAAGATCTCTCCCATGGAAACAGCTAATAAACCAAGCTGCTTTAGTTTATTTGTCATGCTGAAATACATTCCACGGTCTGATTACATTGCTGTTTTATTATGGAAAAGAAAAGACTGGTGGTGGGAAGTGGGGGAGGAGGGAGGGAGAGGGAGAGGGACATGGAGGTGATAGGCACTCAGAGTTTGAAGAAGGAAAATTGCTCTTCCAAGCTCATGAGGCTTTGTCACAAAGAGTTTGGTCTAGAAATAAAAATCAGGTCTGGCATCTGCTCCCTCCTGAACAGGAACAGCCTTTGACTTGGGCTTCCAACATATCCACCTCTGGCTAAGCCTGCGTCCACTTTATCAAGTCACCAAACAAAATCTGGAAAGAGGAAGTAAGAAAAATAATAACGCAGGTGATGTCAGCCTTGCTGACCTGCGGACCACACGTCAAGTGGCGAAGTGATTCATCCATCTCTCCCTGTTTGGCAGTTAAGAAGCCAGGTCCCCAGAGCAGCGAGGCACTTCCCAGATAAGTACGGTAGGACCAGGTCCAGCCCACGTTCTGCCAGGGTCCCACCACCTTTTCCAGACCTCACGTTTCCTCCAGATGCTGAAACCTGAGCCCGGGTTTCCTTGGATATTATTTGGCTTGCCTCTGAGGCTCCCATTGCTTGGATGGCCTATGACAAAGCAGAAAGAAAGCTCACTGGAGATCAATTTTGCTACTTGCTAGAAACCGACTTTAAATTGCCAAGGAAACTATTGTTGGATATGGGATTTTCCTTCGGATCTCTCCCAGGCCAACAAGCCTTGTTATTTCTTTTATGATGGCATTGCAACTAGAATCATAGATGTTTTAGACTTGGAGGTGACTCTGAGGTTCAGCCACCTCCTTAATAATGGCAGCAAGTACTTGCCGTGTGCTTGGCGCATAGATCCAATTGCTTTACCTCCTAGATTTCCTACAAAGTGTGCTCCTCATCTCACACTATGCTCCTCAAATTAAAGATTCTGTGGTCCAAAAACGTTTTACGGAAATGTACAAACTCAGAAAAAAATCACAATGCCCATGAAAATGCAATGGACTCTGGGAAATTTGTACAGTTAAGAAAGCCATTGCATGTTTTAGCCAGTTGCTTCTAAAACACTTCTGTCCATGAAAACACTGCTTCCTAAACTCTGATTAGTATCTTGCTCCTTTTCTTACTGGTTAGAAAGTTCAATCTCCAATTAATATTCGCTGGCCATTTTCATGAAGATGGAGCACCCTCTGGTATCTTCAAAAGGCTTTTCAGCAAGGAGGGGGATTAGCAAAGAGCTGCTGAACACTTTCTTAAACATAAAAATGATGGCTGAGATTCACTTGTTTTGGGTAGGAGATTTACGATTCGCTCACGGAAATTTCCAAGGGAATGGATGAGCTATCTTCAAACACATCGTTCGCCCAAGTCAGCCTCAGATGCATTATGATCAATATTTAAACAACTACAAAGGTGAAGACTGACCCGCGCTGTCCTGCCCAGCCGTCCCCACAGTCCACTCGAGATGTTATCTCCAAGTAGTAAACAGGCTCGTCCCCAAAGTCTAGGCCACCCGGGTGTGATATCAAACAGCTGCTCACAGCCCTTGAAGCCAGCTCCCATCTTCCCCTGCTGAACTCCCAGCAAGCTCAGCTTCCTGGAGAGCTGTTCTTTGATGTCCGAGAGGACCCCATGTATGGGATGTGTGGGAAGCAAAACCAAGATTCCTCTGCTTTCCATGAGAACATGATCTCCCAGGAAGCAGGGGTACAACTCAGCATCTCAAATAATAAAGCCGTAACCAAAGTAACCCACACCACACTCACTGGTGTCCAGCGTAGGAACGCTTACTGCCTCCCTTAGAAGCTCGCCATGAGGCGAGAACTCTATTGGTTCCCTTTTCACACAGGAGGAAACTGAGTCTCGGAACACAATGTCAAAGTCCCAATGGAAGTGACGTGTGTCTTTTGGTTGTAGTTTCATTCAGAACTGATTTCGAAGTCTCCCCGCTGGGTAGAAACCCACCTCGACTCTCCAAAGAGTGGCTGAGAGCTGGAATTGAGGCTGAGACTGCCAGAGACTTCAGAACTCTGCCCTTCATAATTATATGGGCTTTTTCCTCCTGTGGCAGAATTGGCCTCCTGTTTTGCACCTTTATATGTGCTTCTTCACACTGCAGTGTAAATGTTTGCTCCCTTTTCTCTTTTGCCACTAGGCTGAGGGCTCCTTGAAACAGGTATGGAAGCTATTAGCCTTTGCACTGGTGGCAATGCTCACCGCGATAGCTAGCAATTCCAGAGCGCTTATCGCGGCCGCACCCTAGGGCCGATATGGGGCCAGTTAGTCATGCCTGGTGCCTATCCTGACCATTCGTGCCCCTGCACGTTAAACAATGTCAGCGTTGCCAGGCGCGATGGTGCTCAAGTATAGTCCCAGTTGCTTGGGAGGTTGAGACAGGAAGATTGAAAGTTTGAGGCCAACCCAGGCTATTTAGTGAGACCCTGTCTCAGAATAAACAGTAAAAAGGGCTGGAGATGGAGCTGTGAGGATCCACACGGTTGTGGGCAAGTGGAAACCTCAGTTTCCCCCATGTGGACTGCAACATGGGGCTGCATCAGAGTTGCTACCGCTTGGCAGCTGGCCAGGGTCCTGGTCTAAATGGCAGAGAGAAAGAGGCAGAAGGGGCAGTGTTTTATGACCTGGCCCCGGATGTTATACAGCTTTATTTCTGCAACGCTTATTGGTTTCGCAGGTCCAGGCTCTTCGGTGAGGAAGGGGACCCTCCTAAGGCACAGATATCCAGAGGATCATTGAAGGTCCTCTGCTATAAGTGCCAAACATAAGCCACCAACAGATTTAGGCATCTGAAAATCCACAGCTCTCAGTATAGAGAGGGTGAGGTTTCTACACTCACTTGAAGGAATGGGTGATTATACATAGGACTGGGAAAGAAGAGGCGAACTAGAGTCTGGAATGGGAGAAAGAGCCAGCCTCGCTGGGAAGATGTGGCCAGGCTTTGAGTCTCAGCATATTTTCTAAGTCCTTTCGAGTAAGGATTCAGCCCCTCTGTCTCAGCCTCCACTGGAACACGAGGACAGTAGCAATGGCTACAAGGGCACTAAAGCACTGGGTACATCCCAAGTCCCAAGATGGCTATTTCTTGACCAAATGCATACAAAAACAAAGGATCCTCAGCATTCCCAAAGTGTATTTCGGTGCAGCCAGATTCTTCCTTGAGGTTTCCTCTGCTTATATCTGTCACGGGCTTTGTCAGAGATTTTATTTATTCAATCAGCAAACATTTATTGAGTGTCTACTGTGTATTCCAGCCCTAATCCCCAGTGCTAAGCACTGGTAATGTATCAGTGAACAAGACAAACATTCCCAGGCTTTAGGATCTACTGTATGGCCAGCGTGTGGGGAGGGGACAGTGAGATTCAGTTCTCTCTGAAAGTGTCCTGAGCTCACCCTGGACCTCCCGCATTTCCTACAGTGTCACCCTGGGAGCCAGGGACAGAGGAGTGCGAGAGCAGGGCCATCCGAGGTCCTCGGGGTTCTGGCAGCCTCCCGGTCCTCCCCACTGTGTCCAGCTGAATGTGTGGCTATCCGCCCCTGCTCCTGTTTCCAGAAAATCTGCTCCACTCAGGGCCAGGCCTTGACATTTGCGATTCTCCAATTTCGAGTCAAAATCTCCAAGCACGGTGGAGTGGCAAAGCACTCAGGAAAGCCTGATGCAGGTAGGTCCTGTCGTGGGCCCCAGAAAGATACAGTGAAGTAGTCATGCCCAGTGCCTGTGAGTGTTGCCTTCTCTGGTAGGAGGGTCCACGCAGACACGTCCGCAGTGAGGCCACGCTGGAGGAGGGTGTGATGCAGAGTGACTGATAGGAAGGGAGGCTGGGGACACACAGAGGCTGACACTGGAGAGGTCACCATGAAGATGAAGGAGGGGCCCGAGGGCTGCATCTCTTGGCCAAGGACGCCAGCGTGGCCAGCTTCCCCTGGACGCAGGAAGACACAAGGAAGGGTCTACTCAGTGCCTCAAGGAAGCGGCCCTGCTGACAGCTGGGCCATGGGAGCATCCACTTCTGCTCTTGTGAGCCTCCCTCCGGCTCCTGAGGAATCTAACGGCATCCAAACGCAGGCCCTCCGAGTCCTTTCTGAGCCAGCATTTCTGTCTCACAAAAAACAGACTTGGAGGGAAGAAAATTTCCCATTCCCTGGGCTGCCTCTTTGCTCTGACTGTTTCCTTTGCTGTGTGGAGGTTTTTTAATATGCAGCCATCCCATTTGTTGATGTTGCTCTTTTCTTGTTCAACAGGGGCCCTGTTTAGAAAGTCCTTGCCTACACCTGGGTCTTCAAGAGTTTGACTTATTTCATCATCCGGCAAATTAAATGTTTCTGTTTCACTATCTGGTGTCTTTAAATAAATTCAATAAATCAGACCCACAAGCTTGAGTATTGCATAATTTCTCATACATGAGAAGCCCAAGGCATAAATAATTTTTTTAAAAAAAGCTAGACAATCAGAAACAGGGAGATGGATCTTTTGTAGATAAAAAAGTAATCCAGAGATGGGAAAGAAGGGAAATAAAAAGAATTAAGATACGTTAAGCACATGCACCTATTCCCTAAGATGAATATAAAAAGCATGTACTGCAAATGTGCACTGAAAAATTGAAAAAGAAAAGGGAAGAGGCCTTGGGAAAAAAGACTCCCTCCCATGGCCACCTAACACAAGCACTGGCTTCCCCTCCATGCAGGGCTTAGAAGACTCTTTTTGATTTTTGGTTTCTGGCCATGGCCAGGCCTCAGCCATCCACAGTGCTATTATCATTTATTATTTCTGTAAGAAACAAGAAGCCCCAGAGTCTGTGTGTTTTCCAGCCCCTCCAGGTGGTCTGTTTTTGCTGGCTTTGCATGAAAATGGCTGGGCGGGCGGCTGTGCAGGGTAACAGGCTAGCTCAGATGCGAGCTGAAAGGATGGTAACAAACGGCCTGGCCAGCGGGGCTGGGCACAGCCAGGCAGAGCGAGCCGAAAACCACAGCATGCTGGGCCGGGAGAGCAGTGTGGTTCCTTAGCTCTGCTCTCTCCTCCTACCAGCGTGCCTGAGAGGCCAGGGGGATCTGTGAAGCCTCCACGCCAGGCCGTCAAGCCTGGGAGGCATCTGGGGTGGCGAGAGACGGTGTCTGCTGCAAGGCCTCCAAGAATCCACAGTGAGACACATCATTACAGCCTTTTCTGCCAGCTCTGATTCAAAGGTGCATGAGCTTTGTTGGACCCCAACAGCACAAAGGGTGTGCCTGGTGACAGACGGAGATGGGAGAAACAGAACTGCTGGGGCGGGCTGGGGGTCTGACCCCGGAGACGCTCTCTCAGGAGGGAGAACCCAGGCCCAGCCCAGAGGGCGGCCTCAGGGAGCCAGCACCACAGGGCCTTCGACCAGCCCTGCAGCCTGGGCCTCCCGGTGGGGATATGGGGTCCTTGGGGCTATGCGGGCAACTTCGGGGCTCCTTCAGCCGGCAAGGGGAATCCAGAGTGCTGCCGTCGCTTCTCACTTCAGAGCCACCGAGAGCCAACTTTCTGTCCTTTCTCAATGGCTAATTCACCATGGGACAAAGGCAACCACCCCTCGGAACCTCAGATGCATAGTTTGTAAAATGGGGTAGTAATGTGGCTGAGGTTTAAGTGAGTCCCCCCAAAAGTTCATGGGTCGGGAGCTTGATCCCCTGACTCAGATGAGCATGCTGTTTGGAGACGAGGTCCACTGTAGGGGAGCTAGTGGGATTCGGTGAGATCCCATCACAGCATCGGTAGCTTCAGGAGGACAGGAAGAGACCCCAGCCACCTGGTTTTCCCCATGTCTTTCTGTGTGGTGCCCTCTTCCATGCCAGGATGCACCAGGAAGGGCCTCACCGGGTACCACGTCAGCCCTTGGACTTCCTGGCCTTCAGAGCGGCAATCTATATTAAGTTTTCTTCGTAAAGGAGCCCCGCCTAGGTACATTGTTATAGCCGTAGGAAGTGGACTGGGTCAGACACCTTCCGTGGAGGGCTATGACGTGTCATCGGCAGCTTCAGCGTGGACCCTGGAGTAGAACCAGGCATGTATAACCCGATCCCCTTTTCCCAGCCAGGCGCCTTTGGGAAGATGCCAATTCGTTCCCACGGAGCCAGCCTGAGGCTGCTCTACTGTCCCCGCGCTGGCCACCCCAGTGGCTCAACCGCAAAAGCCAGTGCATCTTTGCCAGAGGGACGTTGTCGGGCACACGAGACAGCTGGGAATGGCAGGGTGGAGACTCTGAGGTGCTCCGGCCACAGTCACCCAGACTTGGCACATAGGGCAGCTTGGGGTACACCCTTCCTGAGGTCCCACAGGGCTGCACCCCGATGGCCACAAGGGATGCTGGCATTATGAGGAGAGGAAAGTACTTGGGGACCCCTAGCACCCCATCTTCCTTTCCCATGTCTTCAAGGATGGCCCTTGAGACCTCCTCTGTGGGGCTCCATTTAGAAAGTCCTTGCCTACTTCTGTCTTCAAGAGTTTCAATGTGAGATTCCACTCCCGTGGGGTTCTGGTCTCAACACAACCACAGAGAGTGACCGCGAGGGTCAAATGGATAAAGAACACCCTGAGAGTGTCCGCCTCGAGGTCAGCCTGACCACTGCGAGGGTCTGAATGAGCCAGGACTTGGCTCCTATGAAACACCTTGACACAGCACCATCATGAGGTGACAGATGGGGAAACTGAGGCCCGGAGACCTCAAGCCACTGTCCCCAGCTTGCACACAGTACTGGAGACGTAAAGCCAGGTTGCTCCCTCCTGTGGAACCTCTTCCAGGAGAGGGAAAGGGAGCACAGCAAGGGCTGTCAGGAGAGTGCTGGAGTCCACTCAGAGCCACCCATTCCGTGGTCTCCTGCAAACCGGGAACTTGGACAAAGGCGGCCTTGGGGCCTCCAGCCCTGCAGAGGTGAGGCAGGCAGGAACAAAGCCGGTCCCAACAAAGCCGGTCCAGCCGGGGCTGCCGACCCTTCCCCCTGGCTATCCGTCATCTTGATGGGGGATTTTATGCACCCTGTACGCCAATCACCTCTTCAATTACCTCTCGGGAGGAGGAAGCAACCCAGTGGCATCTGATGTCCCATTTGATTTAGGACAAGTCACACTTAAAAGGGCATCTGAGGTTAAAGTACGCCGAATTCTGGGCCTGTTTATAAATCAGCAGGCTTGAGGTTTTCATTATTCACCTTCCAGAGCATGGAGCGATATGACTCACTGGATCATAAAAGAGATCAAATAGCTTTGTTGCTAATAATTCTTTCCCTGACCCATTCTCTGGCACATTTGGTTTGTAAACAGAGTTTTAATGGCATCCCTTGGACATAATAACATCATTTCTTTATAGCACCTTGGCCGCCTAGCCACTCTTGGCTGTAATCGGGTTTAGGTTTAAGCCTCCCTCATTTGTGGGAGCTAATGTTGTTTGGTGTTTTAAGAACTACTTAGGGTGAGGGATATCGCCCTTTGAGAGGGTGGGCCCAGCCCCTTCCCTTCCAGGGCACAGCGCTCTGGTGACTGCCTCGGGCCCTGACCTTTACCCCTCAGCCTCCCAGGACCCAGGACGCGGAGATTCCTGCCCCACCCTGGCTCTCCAGGAAACTTCTTCCTGTGCAGGTCCTCTGTGCCCTTGAAGTTGGCTTCTTTGAGTATCAGGAATGTGGAATGAGCTCTCAGAGCTGTCTTTCATGCTATGAATAAGACAGACCGTTCACTTCCTAACCATCTCGCCCAAAGACACTGTGCATCTGCGTGCACTGAGGAGGAAGCTTGGAAACCATAAAGAAGTGAGAGAGAGCAAGAAGAAAGAGCTGATGGATTACTGAGGGGCGGAAGACACCTTTCAGGACATTCTCCCAAGGTTTGGTCATTTCTGTGCCACTCTCCAGTTGAAGTCAGACCTGAACACCTGGCTCCCTATAATTCACTTAGGTTTTGTGTGTGCACGAGTGTGTGTGCATGTGTAAACTGACTCACCTTATGCACTTTGAAATGCTTGTCATAAATAGGAGGTAACCATAAAAAGACAGGGATCACAACCCCTAATTCAACCCCCTCCACCCCCAGGACCAGATATGTCTCAGAATGCAGAACCTTGGAAAAGAAACGCGGTGCCCACACCCCCTGGGACTGCGCCCTGATTAGACACATCCACAGTTCTCCTAGGCACACTCACATAAAGATGAAGTTTTAAAGGTTATAAATAATCTCTTGTCTGTTTGGGTTAGGTATGCCTAGCAAGTGATTTATGAAAAAAATTCTATCTGCCGAGAATTTTGGATTTTGGAATATTGCATATGGGATTGTGAATATGTGCAGAGAGGGAGCAACAAGGGTGATTGAATTCCAGATGGATAGGGTGACCGGCCTTAGAGAGACGAGGCAGAGGGAATGCGTTTTGACGTCCTAGCACCAAAGTGACCCCGCCTTCCACACACGATGGGAAAGAGAGGGTGAGAAACGAAGAAAAGACGGTAACTCACTGAGGGGGCGGGGATTCGAGGGTCCCTGCAGTCCTGTCCGGAAATCCCTGCAGCACTTAACCCTGCCATGGCTGGGTCCTCTTTCCACTGGGGGATTAGAGTCTGGAAGAAACCGAGAAAGGGGAAGAGAAAGTCTCAGCCGCTGTCCCCCCAACACACAGAACACCGTCAAGGGAAAGATCTCTCAAATGTCACTCTCTGCACTTCCAGGTAAGAAGGGGTAGCGGGTTTAGAGAGAGGCAGAGGTAGACGTGGAGGCTGGGGATGGACTTGCGAATGACTTGCTCTGGCTAGGAAAGGCCAAAGGAAGGGGTGGGGACACCCCGCATTCAGGCACCTTCAGCAGGAGCGTCATCTGCTGGGACTGGTTAGCTGGAACCCTCCTGTCCCGGGCAAAGGGGACTTCACACTTATAGCTGCAAAACAATCGAATCCACCTAGGACGGAGTGGGAGGCTAAGAAGATTTAGTCTCAGAGGCCCCGGTGAGGAAGATATTTTGTCTCCACTCCATTCAGTTCAACAAATGTGGATCGAGGGGCCGGGGATTTAGCTCAGTGGTTCTGCCGCCTGCCTCGCAAGCGCAAGGACCGGAGTTGGATCCCTGGTACCAAAAATAAATAAATAAATGTTGATCGAATTCCGATAGGGTCCCAGGCATGACACAGACTCTGCTGAAGATGTAAATATGTGCAAAGCACAGACTTCGATGCCAAATTGGCAGCTAAGGCCAAATAAAGGATAGAGGTCACTGGTAGCCATGCATAATGGCTTAGGTTCAATTCCCGGTACTGCAAAGAAAACCCAAAGGAATAATACGATCACTTTTCCCTCTTGAGGAATAAGGCGCTACCGCGATAGACAAAAGGTGATTTTCAATCTTTATCGAGAAAGAAAACAGCCTTTGCTGTTGCTGCATTCATGGCACAGCACAGTGACGAACAGAAGACGATCAGAGCAGACCGGGGTCACTCTCCAATCAGAGCCACATGGTCCAAGAGCCTGCGGTGGCCGGGGAGACTTCTCAGCACGGCCACCGCCCATGGGAAGAGAGACACTATTGAGCCTTTTCTCCCAGTGTCCCTTCTGCCCCACCTTGAGACACAGTAGCAACAGAAGCAGGATCCTCTCTGGTGCCGGCTCAGGGCAGAGGCGTCCACCAGGGAGACGGGCAGGGAGGAGAGAGAGAGAGTTCGAGGAGGAAGAGAATAGGACCAGATGGGGAAGGAGGAGGCAAAGGAGAAAAAGCAGACTGGAGTGGGGAGGAGAAAAGAAAGAAGAGGGCGAGGAGAGACAAGAACCGCTGAGGAGAGCGAGGGCGGAGAGGACGGGGGGGGGAAATGGGAGGGAGGTATCTGGAAAGCTGTTGTCCACTCCAACCGTGCAGGACCCGGCGGCCAGTGGGCACCAGAGGCAATCAGCGGCAGCCCTATGTGGGGACGTGCGTGCACCCCTGAGCGTACGGGCTGTCTCCACCGCCTGCCAGGGGCACGGGCTGCCGGAGACACCGTGTCTGAAGGGCAGGATGGGAGACGGGGCAGAGTCAAGGAAACCAGGGGAATCTGACTGGAACAGTGCTGGGTGGTGGGGGTCGCAGTGGAGGTAAGACCTGCGCCTTTGTCTCTGAATCCAGGTCGGTGGGGTTTCCTACACTGGGAAGTAAAAAGTCCCAGGAAGTCTTGGGTGTTTAAGAAGGGAAGAGAAGAAGGGGAAGACACCAAACCGCCGGGCACTGGAATGTGCGCCGTCTCGTTCAGTCCCGCCCTCAGCTCCGTGGCCGGCACTCCAAGCCCCCTCAGGGGTGCAAACCGGACACTCAGGATTCGTCCGAGGGCGCACAGATGTGGGTCTAGCCCCTCATTTCCGCTCCCGTGTCTGTAACTTTTCTTCTCTGTCAGGTGGGCAAACTGGAAGAGGGTTGTAGCCCCTGCTGACATCCGGGGTCCACTTAGGCGAAAGAAGGGAGGCTGTGGTTTGGTAAAGATGGAGTGAACGAAGCCCAGCCCTCCCGGGACACTCGGCGGTGGGCTCTGTGCCATTTTAAGCTCAGGCTCCCCGGACACCGACTCTAGGGGATCCCTTCTTCTCTCATGCCAGGAGAGGGGGGAAGAGAGTCTGGCTGTGGCCTGTTGGCTCCTGAGGAATGAGGCCTCCTGGAAGGAAACGAGGTAGGTCAGCCAAGTCGCTAGGGTTACAGCCCTCACCTGCAGGCCGCTGCCAAATAACCCCAGGGGAGAGTCAGTGCCACGGAGGGCAGGCGCCCTCCCCAAGGAAACTGGCTTCTGGGGCACAGGGAGTCCCCGGGAGGCTGAGAGGAGCCACTCTCGAGAAGGGCAGAGGCAGGGAGAGGAAACCTAAGGTCATCAGGATAATAACAGCTCGACGCGCGGTTCCTTTCATCTGCAGAGCGCAGAGCCGTTTACAACCACATAATTAATTTTCTCAACACCCACTACACCACCAACCCCCAAAGAAGGTGTCATTACCGTCCCTTTATGAGCAAAGAAACTAAGAGGTTAGTTGGCTGGCTCCAAGCCACAAAACAGTTGTGAGGCAGAAGCCAAATTTGGGATGACTGCCTAGCTCTGATCCCAGGAACCAGAGAAAAGGTCCATTTGTAGGAGGAATCATGACTTCCACTCTTAGTCACTTACTTATTCACCATCCACCCATCCACCCCCATAGTCACCACCTACCCATCATTCCTTCTATTAATTTACCCTCCCACCCTTCCACCACTTGCCCATCCATCTGTCCATCCATCAATTCATCTCTACTCATTCTTTCTCCGTCCATTTAATAAGCGTTACTTGATACCCTGAGTAGTTCTGGGGATTAAACCAGGACTGCGGTGAAGTTTCTTCCCGCCACCTCATGATTCTCCAAAGAGTGGTTTTTTTCCCATTATGGTAGGACTCTGCAGTTTACAAATATTTCACCTTTATACAGTATGTGCACTAGGGTTTTAGTTCCGACTTATGTTTGGATTTGTTTATGCCGCTGGGGCCCAATCCTAGGGCCCAAGTCATGCTAGACATGTGCTTAGACTGAGTTAAGCCCTAACACAGAAGCAGCGAGTTGTGTTCCTGTTTCGCAGCTGAAGACATTGAAGTGCAGGTAGACCTGGTCAATCCCCAGACCTGGGATCTGAACCGAGTCCTCCCAGAGCCTCTGAAAATTCACAGCTTCCACGGTAAGCTTCCCAGCCTCTTCCCAGTTTCTGGGGAATCTCCCTGTGGCCCTGAATCAGCGAAGCACTTCGCACACCCTTACCTAGCAGAAGATCACCTTATCAATAAAGCTTCGATTCAGATGAGGAAATGGCCAGGCAGATGCCAGTACTGGAGTGGATTCTCATGGGAGCATGAAAATAAAACCATGGGCCAAGAAAATATCAAGTTTGATGAAAATGAGCAGAATATCCAGGTGTGAGGTGAATCTGTCTAACCCTGGAGGGTATGTGAAGCCATCAGCTGGTTGAGCAGTTTGCCCCATCTAAAAAAACCCAGGGTATGTCAGAGTCTGCCACCCAAGAGCCCTCCACCAACATGGACTAAATGAGTTCATCAATGAAAGGTATTCCTGCAGGGAAAATCCGAAGTCCCCAGACAGTGGGAAAGGAATCCACACGTCCCTGTCTCGACTGATTGACTGACCAGAGAGGAGCATCTGGGAGAGCTAAGATGCCTGTCAAAAGCAATCAACCCATTTCCTCTCCCTAAGGAAAGTAACAAGGGGGAGCTTTCATCCCCCCAAACCCACAGTCATAGGCCATTCACAAGAAGTGAATACATCAGAAGTGAGGGGGTACATGTTGGATGACGTACAATGGCCCTTGTCAGCTCTCCTAACCATGGGGAGAAATATTTCACACGGCCCAGAATGCCCAAGGGGTGCAGCTGCCATTTTTCCGGTGGGCGGACTGGAGACACCATTCATTCATTCATTCATCATTCATTTATTCACTCACCCGCTAGACGTTCTCTCTTTGTAGCAACTTTTCTCAACTCAGTGTAGACGATCTATCTTCTTTTAAGTTTTATCCTTTCCTCCTTTCTTTGAGATTCTCGATGATTTAGAATCGTGATGAGCAAGCCTCGTGGAACTCAAAAGAGATATTGACGGAGCAAGTAAATCATGTTCTTTCCTGTAAGTTTGAAGTTTTTCACAATTAAAAAAAAAAGATACATTTGGAAAATGCTCAGCTGCTGACCAACGCAACCTAAGGCCAAAGTTAACATTGACCCTGAGAGGTTCCCATCCTTAGCCAAGTGGTGATAAGAACAGCAATTGACCTCCGTGGCCTTCCTTCGCCAGCCCCACTCGAAAGACATCCAACTAAGCCCAAGTGAGGGAGCCTCCTACCGTCACAGAGCAGCGCTCCTCAAAGGTGTTAAGGTCACAGAAGCAAGAGAGGGCTGAGGAACGGTCACAGCGCACAGACTCCTGAGGAACCCTGGGGCCTTGCGAGGTGATACCCTTCACAGGAACCTGGGACGGAAAAGGGACATCAGGGGGAAACGAAGGAACTCCGAATAATAAAGGATGGATTTTAATTAAGGATGCTCCATCAATTATTGGTTCATTCACTATGCATTTACATTAGGGAGCAGTGAGGTGAGATTCCCAGAAGAAGCCCAGGTGTCCACCCATTCGGCGGTCACAGCCAGCCTGCCCCAGGATACAGCCTGCCCAGGGGTACAGCCTGCCCGGGGGTACAGCCTGCCCCGGGGTACAGCCTGCCCGGGGGTACAGCCTGCCCACACAGCTCTTTCCTGACTCAGCAATCGCTATGGAGGCTGCACAGTGGGAAGGGGGGGACCCTAAATTAGCTCTACAAGTGCCTCCACCTTAATAACCCTTGGCTTTTCCCTCACACCTTTCATCCAGGGAATCTCAAAGAACTCATCCAAACAGTAATTAATCTGGCCCACAACACCCCTGCTATTATTAAGCCCATTTTACAGATGAAGAAACAAACATGAAGCGACGTCAGTTGTGCAATGACTTGGGCTCGGGGAGGAGGGACCAAAGTCGCTGGGGCAGCCGCTGGCACACAGGGTCTCCCCCCTACTTTCCTGGCAGCCCTACTGAGTCCGATATGGGCCTCAGGGAACAGAGAGGCTTTGGAGTCAGGCAGATCGAGGTTTCGTGTTGGTGGCTTGGTTGTGTACCATGGCTTCTCCCAACTGTGTGTCTGTTTCCCCGAATGTGAAACAGAAAACGGCAAATATTCTTGCAGAGCACAGGAAGGTGGGGTGGTCCAAAGACCACACAGTCAGGCCAGCTTTGGTTCAGCCCCCATCCATCAGCAAAGAACAGAGGGCTCAGTGAACTGGGCTGGCTCTGTGTCCCCTGGCTGGGTGGTCAGCAAGGACGTGACGGGCTGGAACAACCGCCCCGGAACATGGGAAGCAATGAACTCGAATCTGGGCCCTGGAAAATGACTCCCACATCACTGGATGCCACTGCCATGCCATAGGCATCTAACACACACGCACACACTCACGTACGCACACACACGCTGCATGGGGGGGCGTGTACATTGCCAGCGCCTGAGCTCCGTGCAGCTCTCAGGGCCCCACGATCTCTCGCAGGATGGCTTTTATCTTGTTTCTTGCGCCTAAGACTTGGTGTGAAGCATGGTGGGGGTCGGAGAGGCAGAGAAGGAGGAGGGGAAGCTCTGCGCAAGTTCCCCAAGGCCCTGGCCCCTCCTCCGGGAAGCCTTCCAACAGATCTTGTTGAGTCACAGTAGGGTTCCCGACCTTCCTGGGGGCGCCCAGTGCGTCCCCCAGAGTGACTCAGTCTGGAGGCGCTGAGGGGGCTACTGAGACCCCGGAGTGACACACGAAAGCCACGTCCCGGCTGCAGGGCCTCACTAAGGAGAGGGGACAAACAGCAGGGCCGGCTCTGGGGAAACAGGGTGGGAGAGAGAAGGGTGCGTGCAGCCCAGCAGAAGAAAGTCAGACTGCGCGCCGAGGTGCTCCCGCAGGAACGCAGAGGGCCCAGGCCAGCGACTGTCCCGCCCCTCGCCGGCCTGGGTGCTAGCAGGACGGCACAGGCAGGGTTTGGGTACGTGAGCTCCAGTCGCATGCATTCACTGGGCACTGTCCACGGCAAGCCTACCTGTCCGGGGTGCAGGGCCAGGTGTGGGTACACGGGAGCAGACGGCGTGCGGCGGGACACTCAGGCGCGCACAGATAAATGAGCAGGGTGATGGAGCAGCGAGCTGGGCACCGGGGTGCAGAGGACTGGGGTGGCGAGTCAGGCGGCCGGGAGCGCCTCTCCTGAGGTGGCACCGGGACGAAGGCCTAAGGGAAGAGAAGGAGCAGGAGCTGGGAAGAGAATCCGGCGGTGGGATGGCAGGTGTCGGCCGCTGAATGGGGGCAGCGCGCACGGAGGGGCGGGCACCAGGCCACCCTGGAGCAGGGCTGCTGGC